GTCTCGTTAGTCTTGTACATAGCAATGTGACGTCAAAGAACACCATCCTTTGTTTGGCTGCAGTTGTGCTTTCTCTCTCAATGCACCGACGATTGAAGACTCGCAGAATCGTTTGGCATTTGAGATTACTCGGTAAGGTATGTCTTTTGCACCTTCAAAGTGCACGATGTTGCAAGATTAGTGGGAACCTGTTTCTGTACTTTCGTTGGGTAACTACACCCTGTAGGTAGTCACAATCTTTACCTCGAGAATCGCATAACGACTGACAGAGGTGTGGATGAAGAGATCACTCACCGCGTAATCAAAACTAGATAAGCGTTTGTTAACCTGTGGCATCTATGGTGCCGGCGCGACATATTCCTTTTACTGAAAGGGGTGTATTGTGCAACGGTACGCGCCGTGTTGCTCGATGACCGCGAAACCTAGTCTCTCCGAGCAGATCATGTTTAATGATTATCCGTCTTCGACAACTGTTGTCTGCATAACATCGCCCGCTCATGGTGAGAGCATCCCATGAATAACGATGAGGTCAGGTGATGTGTGTTGAGGTCAGATGGTTTTCCACTGAGCAAAACCTCTTAGGTGGCTAAGGCACGTCCTACGTATGCCATACCGTGCGCCATTCGCAAACATTTGTCCGGGTTGGAAGAAACAACGAGGTGGGCAGGCTATGACGTGGCGTGGTGGGTTAAAAAAATTGTCCTCGGATTTGGCTTCCCGGGCCGGGGTCCCAAGATTCAGATTGTCTTTGACTGAAGAAACTGTGGCATATGGCATCGAACCGAAGTCATTGACGTGTATGCACCCGTTCCTATATGAGATCCCAAAAGTAAAACAAAATCAGTCAATATGGCGAGCAGTAAACATGCAACCAAAAAGTTACTGTTCCCAAAGTTGACTGTTTTTGTTTTTTCCCTTTTCTATTTCTCTATTTCTCGTTGAACCCATGGTCATTTTGGCGCTGTATCCGTAAAGATTGGTGTTATATATATGTATATATTCGACACAATAATCTTGTTTGCATCATCGGGTGAAGTTTGGATGGACTAACCGCAACAAACGTGACTTGATAGTCAACTTACAAAAGTGTTGAATCATAGCATTGACTCTTCAATGGACTGGTTCTGAAAGAGCGGTCTATCCAAACGTCACCGGTGATGCAAACAAGGTTATTGTGTCGAAAATATACTTCCTGGGTACAAGTATATGAATGAGCTGACAAAAGATCACCGGATACGCATGCCTGACGAGCGGCAAGGACCGCGAAACCGGTCATGTTCTTCCAGGGAAATTTTGTCCAGTCATTCACATACTACTTATTATGCTATATATATATATATATACCACGGAGAGCCACAAGTAAAATCATAAATGTGTGCATTTTCCCTTTATGTGAAGTAAATGCGATCGTTATTCTCTTGTCATCCTGTCTGAATTTGCCCCGTAGTTACACGGAATCGCGATTGAGTGATGCATAGTCAGATTCGTACTAATTCGGAACCAAAAACAAAATTGATTTCGTGGTATTATCTGCGATCCGGGCTTAACAGCAGTCCGCAAATTCCAAATACGTGACCCCAAACATCCAAACAATGGGAACCGGGGTCAGCGTCCAACAACCAGCACGGGTATGCTAGTCACAGATATTCTCACCCCAAATGGAAAAGTGGTTGGTATCAGATAAATGCAAACAAACAAACAAACCAATGTGCGTGCGTACGTGAATCTGTATATGGACAACACTTACCATCAATCTGTTTGTAAGGAAGGTTACGTCAACAGAGTATATGAGTGAACTGCAAAAGACTTTCCCCATACATACACTTCCGGCCAAAGTCTGTCTTTGATGGAGTCAGAGGGTGGTCGCTGGTTGCTAGCTATCTATCTGAATCCTGTTGCTACTGCTCCTATCTCCCTCCCTCTTTGTTTGTATCTGCTTGGCATTTTGTCTGTCGTTCGACTTCCGCGACTGCAAGAAAATTTCTGTTGAGTTACGATTTCTACTCCTGAGGTTAACATCAATCTAGACACTCGGTAGAAACATCCTGGGCAGACTTGAAGAACAACTAACAGTTCTACTACACATATCAGCCACGATATTTCAGATGGGTTCCAGCTGCTCATACTAATGAATTCGGTTCATCATTTTGCCAAACTATCGCCCGGACCAAATAAGATGCATTTGTTTAAGCCCCACAGGTGCGAGACTACAAAAAACAAACGAATCATTAAAAAAAGCAAGGAACGAAGAAAAAAATCCATGTTAACAGTACGACCCAAAGAATAACTTGATGTGTCTTAAGGCAGCCATAAGTGGAAACAAAAGCCGATGAGAGGATAATTGTGTACAGATGATTAACGATTACTGGGTATGGGATGTGTTCTATCTGTTCGATGGGATCCTGAAGACAAATAATTCATTAGCAATATTTAGGTTGTGTGTTTACAAACGCTGATGAGAATTCGTGCTCAGTTGACCAGACACAAGTGAGTGAATTTCGCAGAAACTAATGTCAATGTATGCATAGAACAGAATAAATGGTTGAGGTGGTGTGCAAATAGAACCATCATGTAATGGGTGCGGGAGGCTGGTAACTATTTGTTGCATCCTTAGATTATGCAAAAATCTAGATTTCATTAATTGTTATCACCATCCCCGTCGTCACCCTCCGTCAAACACATCTTTCCGACATCACGAATACTCTCTCCGTTTCCGGTAAGCATAGACCTATCGGAATAGATTTGACAATCTTGGGTCAGGTCAAGATGGTTATTTTTATACAGCAGAAATCCTTGTTAAGCGATTCGTCTTCTGATTACAATGTTTTTTTTTCTGATGTTTTCCAGTTCTCCATACTGTGTACTGAGATGATTAATAATTGTTGGATTTCCGAACGCTTCATGTGATGTTTGATGCCTGATGGTGCCTGAATATGGGACAATCTCTTGGTTTTTTTGTTGACGGTTTTTAAAAAAGGGGACCAACTTCGAAGGGTTTTCATTGACAAATTCCCGAACACGCTCCAAATTGCAGCTCTCCTGTGTACGCGAATCTGGCCACAAACAGTTCCACTCCGTATCTTCTTGCCCGTCTTTAACTCACGGAAAGATTGTTGCGTTAAAATTTTTCCTGCGCTGCAATGTCTAATTTATTTAAGGTAAAGCATCATATCAATACGCATCCCTTGCAGGAGTTCGCAAACGGTTGATACTCCACCTATTTAATGCAGAAAGTATATCTGGATTTGATTTGAGGTGACATGTTTATGCAATATGATTATATGTCCTGATTTCAGTGGTTTTTATTTTTGCAGCACTGCCGTCGTTACTCATGAGTAACTAAAAGCTACGGGTAGCTTTTTTGTTTGATTTCCCATTACTCATCGGTCGGATTTGAATGCCTGTTCATCCTCGTAGCCCCTATTCATTGATCTGCTGCACGATGAAGAAGTGGAAGTTCGAGCTGTGGCGGCGGGAAAAGTGAAGGCGTTCGCGCGTTGTCTGCTTGGTCTGCCTCCTTCGGAGCCAGAAACACAATCCGGTGCGGACTCCAATCCGGATGCTAAGCAGTTCCCTTCTGCGACGTCCGATACCCTAATACAGGATACGACTCCAGCTTGCTCAACAAATACAACAACGACGACAACAACAGAATCAACATCAAATTGCCCTGTATCTCAGAAGGATGTCAACATGGAGGAGGTGTGGGCTATGGCTGCTGCGGATGAGACCATCGTGTCTAGTTTGCTGCCAGCGATCAAAAGCCTTACCACCGATTCCAATACGCATGTTCGATCCGCCCTAGCTAGCGCCGTCCTTGGTTTGGCTCCTCTTTTGGGAAGCACATTGACCGTGGAGCACCTGCTACCTGTGTTGTTGGCCTATTTGAAAGATGACAGTCCCGAGGTCCGGTTCAATTTGATCTCCAACTTGGAACACGTGAACAGTGTGATTGGAATAGATCATCTGTCCAGCAGTCTACTTCCTGCCGTGATCCAGTTGGCTGAAGATCCGAAATGGCGAGTACGATTGGTGATCATCGAGTATATGCCCATGTTAGCCGAACAACTGGGGAAAGAGGTGTTTAATAATCAGCTTACAGATATCTGTTTAGGCTGGCTCATTGATGAGGTGTACGCAATTCGTGAGGCAGCAGTGGATAACCTTGTACGTCTCGGTCATAAGTTTGGTACGGATTGGGTTAACACGACATTTGTCCCCAAGGTAAGCAGCTGATTTGATTTTTTCTGTTATCAATTTTTATCAGTTCCAGTGATGTCATTACTTTCTATGTGCTTATAGTTGACATGTATTGCTTTTAAATAGTAAGCTCCTTATCGGTTTAATCTGGGAAGATGTTTCACCGGAAACACAAATAGTTTGCTCTCTGTTGATTGATAGGAATTTCTACGGTACCCGCGAATAAAGTTAGTGGTTGGTAGCTTCACTCATGTCCATTTCGCTAAAATGCTTATCATCTTCAGGCCATATGTGTTTGGTCAACTGTCATGAGGGAACAGTTGTTCTTTGTGAATGTCGGATTCAATCCTTCTCCCGCTCATCACACTGTGTATTGAAATTTCGGTTGATCTGTCTGCAAAGTGTTTGCCTTACTCAGTCCGAGGTTGTACATGATTTTAAGCCTGCGCATGGATATTGATGAGAAAAACAAGTACCAAGATAGTAGGAGAACAGTTGGAATTTTAATGGAAGGTTGGGAATTACGGCTGAATGTCCACCTCAGGTCGCATTTATCGCCTGCTTGTTTGGAAAACCTTAGTGTACTCCTTTCTGTGAAAAACGACGGTGAGGCTTAATTTCTTTTTCCTCATGAAATTACTTTTTGATGTTTATCATCAGGAAACCGTTCTGTCGAACTCTGGAATATAGGTTGGAGAAGCTCACAACTCATATGATTGATTCGGAGTGACAGTGAAGTATTCTGCTAACACAGTAGAGTCTCGGTGGCGGTAGTAGGGTCCGAACCTCGAACTTACACAAAAAGGCCGCTTAAGCTGCTCAATCACAAGGGACCTGGCAGGGTTAAAGCGATACCCAGTTATTTCCTACATGAAGCTCCGTTTCCAGTATTGGAGGAACAAAAGACTAAATATTGGCTGAATCCGATTCTCAGACCTCAAGATGTGTTCGAGTCTTGGAACCGATCACCTTATGTGATTCATCAAGTCACAAGGGTGTTTAAACCATCGCGCATTCTCGAAGTCATCCTCTTCTTGGTCGAAGTTCTGTTGTGAATGATTAATTATGGTTCTAGTACACTGTGCAAGCCTTTTGAGGTGACCGGATCGTCGGTACTGATTTGTAACTTGGACTAGTGGGTTGGCAAGGAAAGGCATTAAGTTGTGTTAAACATTTGTAGTATACTCTCCGTGTATCTGTTTCTCCGAATGAATTTCCTCGCGTCTTACCTCGTTATATAGCATGGGCAAGATACGGTGATTGAACCAAGGCCATAAACATCTTACTTACTTTCGGCGGCTGTCTCCTGGGAGAGGATGAGTCAGCTTCATACATATCAAGTGAATATCCATGAATTTTCTTGGAAGATAGGTACAAGAAATGTCCCCAGCGTCACTCGGCTTTGGGTTGAGTTGTCATCTCTAGCCTTTGCACATCCAAGTGCTAACTGCAAGGCAGCAGGAAGGTGGAGCGTGGTTGCCAGTGGCCCTCTGAGGGGGG